AGAAAAAACGATCAGACGTCCATTAAGGGGCAAATGATCGGCTTCCAGCGGAGGAAACATCGGGGTTCAAAGCGTCCGATCTAAAAACTCCTGAACGGCCGTCGCTCACTGAAGCGTTTGGTGAAATCGGACCCTGACAGCAGCAGAACTCACAGCGGTGAAGCTGCCTCCACTCAGACTGCTGAGCCATGATGGAGGTCCAGTGCTCTGATGGGTGGGGGGTATCAGGACCCATCATGACTAACATACTGTCTGTCTGTGTCTGTGTGTGTGTGCGTGTGTACGGGTTGGGGGTTGTACACCCAGATAACGATGTCAGCCGATGTCCCCGATTACTTTTCCTCTTATTCGGAGATCACACGGCTCCGATTCATGGTTCTCGACCCCCCTGAGAAACTTTGGGATGAGCTGAAGCTCCCACTCTGCCATCGTCGCTACAAGCTGAAGAATGAATGCAAATATAGACAGAAACAGAACATGTGACCAGAGCTAAAGTCTAGACTGCTTTTTGGACGGACAGTGCAGGTCAGTGTTTGTTTCTACATATTCTAATAAGAGGGAAGAGGCCTCTAATAACATTCTGGCTTTAGGGTAGAAGAGTAAAACTCTGGCATGTGGCCACATTAAAGAGTTACCTGCTTTTTACCTGTGTGGTGTCACACTGTGGCATGAAGGGAGCTACAGAGCTGAAATGATGTCACAGCTCAGATTCAGCCAATCACAAACCACCATTCATCCCGAGCACAATGAGTCACTACAGTCCAGTGAACTTCTCTGAGTTCACGCTACAACTTACTCCACAGTCCATAATCTTTAAAGCTGGTCAGACCTGTTAAAGAAAAAAAAATGCAGACAACACAAACAGACGTCACATTTAGGAGGGAAGCCCTCCGATTACCCGGCACAACTCCCAATCCATCCAGGGATGGACGTCCGCTTTTGGTCTTTTTCTGAGGAAAACCATCAGCATTTAAAAGCTTCCATACTTAGTTTTGGAGGGAATCAAACAGGTTTTCCACGTCTTATTCTCATGTTTTACAAACAAAAATTGCTTCAAAATACTCAGAGTGCAACAAATAATGGAGAAGCGGGAACCAACTTACTGGTCCGTTTTCCACATCAATTTATAATTAATATAGAAAGAAATCCCTTTAGAAATAGTTCTAAACCACCAACACAACAGAGTGAAGCTACAGGACCAGTTCAATTAAATGTAGATCGTTTCAAGGGTCATTACACATTTACTTGCACTCATTTTTTCAGGCTGCGACTCGGAGAAAACGTCCTACAGGACGAGGAAACTGCTTAGGAGGACATCAAAATTTTCTCAGGAGGAGAAAAGTGCAGCATAATGTCTACATTTTAAAAGTTTTAAGAAAGCTTAATCTAAATGGATCAAAGACAAGTTTCACTCACATTAAAATAAAGCTAAAAGTTATAGGGAAAGTCAGTTTCTGGATGTGTAAAAATCTAAAAACATCCAGACGGATAATCTTAATACATCCAAAAAGAGGTCAATTACTGACAGTTTACAAGATTGTGCCTAAAAACAGGGAGTAGCCCCCCATTTAAAGATGTAGATGTATCCACGATGCTTCCAAACAGACTAAATGTTTTCAGTTGAGGAAGCTGAGGAAGCTTCGACCTGCCATGAGGCGCTCCAACATCATTTTTGTGCAAAACAGCATGTATGAAACAAAAACGATGACAAATGTGACATCCGGCTGCAGTTTGGGCGCCAATTGCACCATTTAGCTTCAAAAACCTGAAAAATGAAGATAAGCTAAGCCATGACAACATGAGTTCTTCACAAGTCACATGAAACGGGTTCAATTCTGTATTTATCATGTTTGCCTATTAAACCCATCTATAAAATACAAATAAAAAATGCTTTAAATAAAAAGTTAGGCATCTTAAGAGAGGTATAATTTTGGTTGGAAATTTTATCTTTATATACCACTGGGAGGGTGATGGAACAGTTTCTTAGAATGAAAATCAAGCTAAGGTTATAGTAAGTTTCTGGATATGTGAAAATCTAAGAACATCCAGACGGATAATCTTAATACATCCAAAAAAGGTCAATTACTGACAGTTTGCAGGATTGTGCCTAAAAACAGGGAGTAATCCCCTCTTAAAGATGGAGATGTATCCACGATGCCTCCAAACAGACAAAATGTTTTCAGTTTAAGAAGCTGAGGAAGCTTCGACCTGCCATGAGGCGCTCCAACATCATTTGTGTGCAAAACAGCATGTATGAAACAAAAACGATGACAAATGTGACATCCGGCTGCAGTTTCGGCACCATTTGCACCATTTAGCTTTACAAACCTGAAAAATGAAGATAAGCTAAACCATGACAACATGAATGCTTCACAAGTCACATGAAACTGGTTAAATTCTGTATTCATGATGTTTGCCTAATAAAACCCATCTATAAAATACAAATAAAAAATGCTTTAAAACAAATAAAAAGTTAGGCATTTGAAGAGATGTATGATTTTGGTTGGTATTTATGGTAGAACAAGTAATATTTTCAGCTTTATATACCACTGGGAGGTATCAGAACAGTTTTAGAATTTATCAAGCTAAAGGTTATAGTCAGTTTCTGGATGTATAAAAATCTAAAAACATCCAATCGGAAAATCTTAATACATCCAAAAAGGTAAATTACTGACAGTTTGCAGGATTGTGCCTAAAAACAGGGACTAACCCCCATTTTAAGATGGGATGTGTACAATTACTTTATTACTTTACAAACCAGAAAACTGAAGATAAGCTAAGCCATGACAACATGAGTGCTTCACACATGAAACGGATTCAATTATGTAATCAATCATGTTTGCCTATAAAAACCCATCTATAAAATACAAACAAAAAATGCTTTAAAACAAATAAAAAGTTAGGCATTTGAAGAGATGTATGATTTTGGTTGGTATTTAAGGTAGAACAAACAATATTTTCATCTTATATACCACTGGGGGGTATCAGAACAGTTTTAGAATTAATTATAGTCAGTTTCTGGATGTATAAAAATCTATAAACATCCAGTCGGAAAATCTTAATACATCCAAAAAAGGTCAATTACTGACAGTTTGCAGGATTGTGCCTAAAAACATGGACTAACCCCCATTTTAAGATGGGATGTGTACAATTTATTTATGACTTTACAAACCAGAAAACTGAAAATAAGCTAAGCCATGACAACATGAGTGCTTCCCACATGAAACGGGTTCAATTCTGTATTCATCATGTTTGCCTATCAATTAAAACCATCTATATAATTAAAAAATATTCAAAACATAAAATAAATAAAAAAAAGTCAGGCATTTTAAGAGATACCATTTTTGGGGAGATTTTTAATCCAGAGAGGACATCTGAGGCATTTCAGCTTTAGTTTTAGTCATTTAAATCTGATATTTTAGAATGAGTCCATGCATCAGCAGATCTACACGTTAAAGTAATGATTCCTTTTTTAATGCAAGCTTGAGCTTTCAAAGTTCTCTTCGACAGACAAACCACTGTCAAACTGAGCCCCTAAATAATAGCGACTGTGTTTACATGCAGCCCCGCGTGGCGACACCATCTGGGTGGTTAAGGGTTGGTCAACCTGGTGGTGACACGTTGAAAAGCAGCAAAGCTAACAGGCCCCAAAAGAATAAAGAAATACTGAAACGGTCTTTAGCTTCGGTATAAACTGGCCTGCAAACATAAAGCCGATGGTGCAGCCCCTTAGCACACAGAGCAGAAAATGGCATCGAACTATAACCAGCCGAGTCCAACTACGCTTAACTGGACAAGCAGACGCTAACAGGAAAGATTGGATGAGGCATGACATGATGGCTGAGCTCAGTCGACGCCTTTCAATCACGTTAATGGCGATTCTGTCAGATGAAGCTCAGGCTACGACAATTCAGCATTTTATCAGAGCAGAGCGACAGCCTGGCTAACACAAAGCCCAAGGGTCGATCATCAGCCCCAGTTTCTGACAAAAGAAATATTATGCAAATGACGGCTAATGTATTTGGGAATTCAGCTGGATTAACAGACTTTCAGAGGAATGCTTAACACGGGTCTGAATCTGGTTGGAAAAAAGCGTTCGACAACGTTTTCGAAGACTGGCTCTGATGCTTTAGGCGGTTGCCATCTGGGCTGTGAACACAGAGCTGCATGTAAACGTAGTCTATCCTGACACTGAAAAGGTGGACAGCTTTCTGTGGCCCACATGCGTCTGTGAGGAGTCTTTAAGGTTCTATGTGCTGTACATCTGCTGTGCTGAAGCATCACTTTTAAACCCGCTGGGGATGAAAATATCAACTCCCTCAGAGCAGCTGCCCATGAAGCCCAAACCATCCGAAACCAGGTGGTCCTAAATCCAGTGTCGGCGCTCAGACATGAACAGAAATTATCTACATTAACAACCATCATTGCTGCTCGCTTTGGACTTAAGTCGAGAGTTAAACGCTATTTTTGAGTCTTTCATCGAGATAAAAAACGCACAGACAAAGACAACACATAGAACCCTCAAATACTCGATGTGAGCCGGTCTGTAAACTGCACATTGTTGGAATGCGTTTTGTTAATTTGTTTTAAAGAATGCAAAATTCAACTTTAGGAAATAAGGTTAAAAGTGTGTCCTGGTGGAACCAGTTTGTCTTTATTATTGAACATGCTTTAACTCCAAATGTATGGCACAAAACACAGCCATGGGAGGTTCAGAGGGTTACAGTTATCACTTCACGACGACTCACAGAGCATAATACATCTAAAGAAAAGATACATGGTCTGAAAGAACAACCGGATCACACCAGGGTGACCTCTCTTTCCACACTACTGACAGTACAAAGTAAAAAATGAAAATATTGACTAAGTCATAAAATGAGTAAATTGCCTGGCTAAAACGATCCAACATTTTCAACTTAAATACAACAAATGCGGCCCAAAAAAGTTCTTGCTGGAGAATCTATACAAATGTTGCTGCTGGAGGCTTCTGAGAGCAGTGTTTAAAAACGGGGTTTCTTAAGGGGACCGTCAAACTCCTCACGGACCCGGCCGAACCCGGCGGCACCAGGACCCATCCCCCGCGCGCCGCCCTGGGCAAAGCGCTCGTTGCGCTGTGGGGGGGGTGTTTAATGTGCAGAGGGGGGTAAGTTATGGGCACGTGCACAGAGTTCATGTCCATGTGGAGGCGTTTAAAAAATGTGTGGTTTGTTTTATTGTGAGCAGGTTTACAAAAACAACCAGCAGGAGACACATCCGAAGAAACGGTTCGTTCCAATAGAAGGTCCACGGGTGCCACAGGTTACATACGGAAAAGGAAGAGAGGGTAATGCTTTCGTTAGTCAGAGCCTAGCTAAGGTGGTCTGATCCAGAGCATGCCAAGACTGTCCTACAGTCCCTGCAGGCCAGCGGCCCGCAGCCTGAAAGCGCTCATTCATAGAGCCCTTCTTCATTTACAAGTATAAATAAAATTATGTTCAAATACGTAAGAATGAATACATTTAGAGTTTGTAGAAACATCACGAATGAGGTATAGGTTAAACTTCATCTTCTAACCAGCGTCAAAACTTTAAGAGACTGCGGAGAACTCAGCAGAAAGCTGATGGTTCATGTTTCTGAAGTGATGGTGTGCTGAGGTTTTAGAGATAAAGCAGTCAGTGAAAAACAACTTATCCTTAAGCATTAAGAACTTTCAAAAAATAATTTCTGTTCTGTAAGTCAGAAAGTCCATTTAAAAGCCCAAAATCCAAAGAAAAGGCGCTCCGACTGATAAAACAGGCCTAGAATAACCTAAATAAATCATGATGATGGTGCGTTTTTTTAATCAACTTTGGAGATGCACCGATTGGTCTAAACTACCAAACTGGATGGCAGCCTTCAACGACTTCCCAGTCTCAGCTAAACATCCCACAACTTTTGGGATAAAAGTGTCTAAAACATAAGATTAAAGTGCTTCTAACTCAAACTCTGGGTAGATCTTTGAAACAAACTATGTTCATAGAAAGTTACAGTGGAGGCTTACAGCCAAACCAAAACTGATTCCCGTGTTTGCTCGGAGGGGACCTGAAGGCATCATGGAGTTCTTCTGGTTCAGCTTTAATCAGAAGAGTGTTACGTTCCTTCATTGTTTTATGCCTGCGTGGCACCTCTGAGCTGAAACCATCTGTGAGCCTCAGGAACACAACTCAAACATGTCTTCTGTCTCCGTTTAACACAATTGTTAAAAAAAGGGGGGAAATAAGGCATTCAGATTCGGCGGCTTTTGGTCATTATGGGTGCAGAGTTCCCCGCAGCCCCAAATCGATGCATCTCAAAGTTATAAGAACAAGAACAGGCTTAAGTTCAGGAACACTAAAAGGCAGAAAAATCAGGGTGGAGTTGACGGCAGATGAAAACAATATTCCCCAACACGCTTAAACAGGGAGAGAAGTAAAGAATCCCACAGGCAGTCATTGGTTTCTGTGGTGTTTCTGTGGTGAAACATACACCTTACAGCCTGTCGCACTTCAGATTTTCAGCACTAAACTTCTCAGGATAACAGACCTGATTGAGTCCAGAGATCAGTTACACTATAGACACGATACAGCTCCTGCCCCCGTCAATTAACCTGATTGGTTTCCATTTGAACTTGATGTTTTATACCGTCACACTGCACTAAAAGCACCGCTAATGCTCAGTTACAGTGAACATAGCGAGAGGGTAGAGGATACTGTTCAGGTACAGCCCTACAGCAGGACTTACAGTGGATTCCACACTTCCACCCAAAAAAAGGTCAAGCAGATGACGCATGAGAGCAAATGCAGTTTAAGAGTTAAGAGCAAAAAGGAAACAACATTGGATAGTGCCACTCTGCTGTCCGTCAAGAGAAGTGCCTGTCCAGCTCACAGCGACAGGGCTTGCAATGACACCTGCGACGCGTCGTAACACACAGAGGAGCAGGGCGGCCTTTTAGTGCAGCCTGACGGTTCGGAGCTGGAGCTGACTGACAGTCGGGGTAACTGAGGGGGCTGGCTTGCCAGCGATGTCTCATCTGATCGCTCAACAAGCAACAAACGTCCAGAGGAAGCTGTGAACGGAAACCACTCAAGGCCGACTGGCCCTCGTGTTTAACCTCAGCTGGAAGTCTTTCCGACCAAAAGGGAAAGCCAAAACATGAGCTACATTCACTACTGATCTTCCCAAAGTGGGATACGTTACCATTTCGTTGTTCATCAGGCCTCCTGCAGCGGATCCCATTCCCTGCTGGTTCTCAAAGCCCATTCCACTCATTGGGAACTTCTGGTTGGCCGCTCCAAAGGCCATGTCTCCTAAAAGCAACACAACAGGTCAAGGACACACACGCGACAATCAAAGCCGACACCTCCACTCATTTTTCATTTCAGGATTCAATGCTGCTTTTTAGGGTTTAAAATTGGCTGGCGCCATCAAATTTCTGTAAAAAGATGAATCAAATCCATGTGCCGAGCAGGGAATGATCCCAAACCTGCAGGGTAGGTTTAACACCAATTGCTACATCAGTCAATCAGAAGGTCCGGTTTAACTTTAATCTGTAAAGCACGTAGGCTGAGTTCTCCCTGAGAGCAGATTCTGCAGAGTGGGACGGTGTGGATTTACACGTGTAGTTGTTGTACAGATTTAGTAAAGGGACGCTGGCGAAGGATGTACACAAAGTGTGGCCAATATTAATGACAGGAATGAAACCTTGAAAAAATTTTTGACTTACCGCCCATGCCCATAGCTCCACCAGCATGCATCCTCATCTCCCTGTCCCTCTGCAATTAGAGAAAAAAGGAGGCGTTTGTTAAGCACAGCTGCTTAAATAATCAAACGCCTCCTTCTCTGTTCATCAGACTCACATCAATGAAGTTGCCCATCCTGTAGTTCTCTTCGCGCTGGCGCCGCATCTGTTCCTCCATCTCTCTCTTGCGCAGCATCTCCTCTTCCCGCCTGCGCCGTTCTTCCTCTTGTCTGAACGACAGAAAGTTAATTTAAAAAGGCCCAAGTTTAATTATCACTGCCAGACTTGATCTCGTGTTTTTACTGGGGAAGCTGCCATTTAAGAATTAGCATCAAAGCTCAGAGACAAAGTTCAAATAAAGCTCTGAAATGTCCTTTCAGTAAACCATCACCTTCTAATCACACTTCCAGACAAGCGGGATTTGTGCTCGCCCTAAAATATTAAATCATGCTGGGTAAGAGTCAATTGTTCTGAAGTCCACACTGAAGTGTAAAAATACCTGAGCTGCATTTCTTTCCTCTTTTGCATCTCTTGGCTGTGCATCTCTTCCATGCGTCTTAGCTCCTCCTGCCGTCTTAGCAGTTCTGCAGGAAAAATTTACACATCCATGCTTAGGTTAAGAAAAAGGCTGCAGCTCCTCCTGAACCGGCACCAGCGGCACTGAAACGCACCTTGCCGGAGCATGTTAGCCTGGTGCTCGTGGTAGGCATCCTCCATCTCACTCTCCAGCTTCTCCCGAGCTTCCAGCATGTTCTTCTCCACCTGCTGCCTCTGCTGCTTCTCCATCTCGTCCAGGGACTTCCAGCGTTTGGAATACTCGAACTCAAAGGTGCCCGGACGGGCGAAGCGAGGAGGCTGCTCACGCTCCCTGCAGACAAAATCATTTTTGTGAGCAGAGCAGAAAAGCTCATCGCTACAGAGTCCTAGTTAAAGAAGCCTCCTAAAAGATCCACAATATTTTTCTGTATAATCTTCCAACTGGAACAATTTAATCCTTCCCCTTTGGGATTTTTACCTCTGTTTAGCAAATGCTAAAAATATTAACAGCAGCTTATTCCACTTCATGTGCAATGAAAACTGCTTCAGAGATAAAGCTTTAAAGTGGGTGACATTTTCAGCTGATGCAGTTACTATCTTTATTTAATTCATGTAGCTGGGCTCCTTCACTTTTTTTTAAGACCTTATTTCAAGAAAAAACAAAACAAAAAGGTATGACATTTCCTATCATCGAGTGTATGAGCTATGAAAGTGGGGGTGATGGATTTGTAATGTATAAAATCATCAAGATAAAAATGGCCCTGCTTACGATTGATATCTGGGATTCTTCTGGGCCAGTTTCTCTGGAAGACCATCTTCACAATCATACTGCTCCAGGGGCTCGACGACCACAGGACGAGGTGACCTGAGATTCAAAGAGGCATGATAAAAGGTTTCTGACATACTTTTCCACCACATGTTCGGCTCACTCCACAATCACAAATCTGACTTACGTGGTGAGGAGGAAGACGCCGTCATTGCACCGATCCAGGGCCTTCTTAGCAGCTGACCTGGATGCAAACTCAACAATGCCCCTTCCTGCAGAGCGACCGCGATCATCAACAACTACCACGGCCCTCTCGACCATACCAAACTGGGAGAAGGCTTCCTCCAGAAGCTCGTTGGACACGTATGGAGAAAGATTCTTCACAGACAGTGCCGCAGAGTGTGTGGCAAAACGAACACGCAAAGGCCTGCCTCTTATTGGAGTGTCATCTAACTCTGCTTTGGCAATCTCTGCCAGTGCCCTGGACTCCTGCAACAGAACCAATCAAACTTTGTAACTACAGCAATCCAAATAGTTGCAGTCATCTTATCTAAACTATGGATTAGCGGATAAAAAAAGAAAGTCTTACCAGTCGGATGAAGCCAAAGCCTTTGCCTTTGTTGATAAAGACCTCAGAAGGCTCGCCATACTTTGAAAACATCTTCCTGAAATCATCCTCTGAGATGTCATTGGGCAGATTACCAACAAACAAACGACACCTCTGGGTGTAGGACTTCTCTCCGGGTTTCAACAGCATGGACAAGGTTGCCTTAAACGCCTGTGAAACAGCAAATTTGGTTGAAATATTTCTTATATTTTATCTGACCAAAATTTTCTTATTGTAAGATGTGGAATTATCACGTATTACACAATACCAAACGTATAAAAGCATTTGGTCACAAACTTAACCGTCATTTCAGATATTTATCAAATATAATATATTTCAGAAAAACTACATACATTAAGACATAACTCTGAAGAAAACAAAATCAGAAAAACAAAAATGCTTTAAAAAGACATACATCTTTTAAAATGTACCGCCCATCCCCCACTCGTTTCACACTTTGATGGGAAAAAGTATAACTAGGATAACTTTATACATTAGCTAAACTGAAATTATGCCTATTAAAAATTTTCAGTGATTCTTTCCAAATCGGAGGGAAAAAAATCTTTTTTTTTGCTTTTAAACGTCGCTTTTGTTAACAAGATGGCTGCCGACCGAAGCTAACAAGATACTGAGGCGCTTGGTTTATTCACCAGCACTACAACCGGTGGCTACGGCCTATAGCTAGCCTAAAAGAACAGCCGACTCCGCCCGCAGCGGCTGTACCAGTACAACAAATCGAGCACCACATGGCGCCTAACAAATGAGCTAACGACAGCTAACAGCCGACGCCTCTCGCTTGAGAAAATGGCTAAAGTAAATTATCATACTGACCTTCTCCATGCTGCCGTCAGACTCACTGATACTGGTGTCTGCCTTAGATTGTGCTCTGACTGGCTGAGGTCCTCTTTGGCCTTGTGGGGGGCCGGTTCTCTGGCCCTGAGGAGGACCAGGCCTTTGGCCCTGGTGATAACCTGCCTTCTGACCCTGCTGGGGACCTGGTCTTTGGCCCTGCTGAGGGCCAGGCTTTGGGCTCTGTTGGGGACCTGGTCTTTGGCCCTGCTGGAGACCAGGCTTTGGACTTTGCTGGGGACCTGGCTTTGGGCTTTGCTGGGGACCTGGCTTCTGTCCATGTTGGGGTCCGCCTTTCGGGCCCTCTGGAGGTCCTGGTTTGGGGCTCTGCTGGGGAACCGGCTTGGGGCCTTGCTGGGCACCGGGCTTGGGGCTTTGTTGGGGGGGCTGCTTCTGCTGCTGTCCGTTTGCGTTTCCGACCGGTGGCTTGAGCTGCTGGTTCTGATTTGCCTGGTTGGGTGGAATGGAGGACACGTTTGGCTTCGGTGGTGGTGGCTGGATCTTCGGCTGGGCTGCGGGGTTGTTGGGTTTTTGCGGCTCCGGTTGCGCCGCTTTCGGTTGCTCCTGTTGCGGTTGGGCCGGTTTTGGCTGCTCCTGCTGCATCGGGCCTTTCATCGTGAGCGCCGGGCCGGGGCTCGGTGCCGGAATGATTGGCATCGACTGGTTCTGTTGTGGCTTCTGTGGACTGTTCTGTGGTCCTTGATTTTGCGGTTTGTTGAAATTATTCGCTCCCCTGCGATTTTGGTTCGGGTTTGCGAAAGGATGATTCCTGAAATGGGGGTTCGCCATGTACCCACCATGCATCGGGCCACCGGGCCCACCACCTCTGCGAGGCTGAAAATTATTCATCCCAAGACCACCACGATTATGATTAAATCGAGACATTGATCCTGTAATCGACGGAAATGAATAAAGCCGTAAAAGTTGCTGCGTGAAAACTGCCTCTCACAATTTTTTTGTGAGTCCTCAAAATGGCGACCAACGTCTGGACACAGTCGTTCTTTCTTTCTCGGAGGACACAACAAACCCCGCCCAGCTCATTGCGCCGCTGCTGATTGGCTCATTACTCAGGAGGCAGTGTCAGTGGCTTTTTAACTTGTCAATCATTGCCAGGACGTGAAGAAAGCATCTCTGACGTCAAATCCGATGTTTTTAATTGATTTTACTGTTTTGATGTATAATTTCGGTTGGTAATTAAGATCGGGAAAAAAAACTTTTACATACCACTGGGGGTATTGGAACAGTTACTGCAGAATAAGTATTTCTTCTTCAATAATTCACTTTGTCTTTGTCTATCAAATTTAAAGAAATAGACCAAAACATTTTGAAAAGCTATCGGAAACCCCACCTTCTAAGCCCAATCCAGGGTTCTCTGTGAGTTTTCTGCCTATCTTGAGCTGAGTATTTTTCCTTAATATAGTCTGCATATGAAGTTGAAATTGAGAATTCCATAGAGCATCTCCAAATAACTAAGGATGTGAGTTAGATTCTTTAGCATTATATACTATGTAACCTCTCTAAAAAGGCAATGGGGCGGCTGGAAAAGAATAAAAAACAAGAATCAACATGTTAACATTTTCTTTCGGTTTCAGCAGCATTAAGTGGTCATTATGATATTCCTATAGATAATAAATGTATATTTACATTTAATTTTATGCCTATTTAAGAAACAGAACTAAATCTGCCCGCTTTATCTGGGGAGCTCGAAAAAGGTAATTAAGTAGGTATGAACTTCACATTTTGATCTGGAAAATGAAAGAGTCAACTCAAAATGATTTTTTTTTTGGTCATTGTTTTTTTTTCTTTTTTTGGAGGGTAGGGGAGGGGACATTTATTCCGCAAACAGGTGTTCTGGAAACAAACACATCTTGCCACTGCTCATCGTTATAAACAGACACAAAAAAGGATGAGGCGACAACAGTGACAAAAGACAACAAACCAAACAAAACATGAAAAATATCAAACGATCACAACCCGAGAAAAAACAAAACAAAACACAGGAGACAGCAGGAAACTCGGAAAAACAGTAGAACCCGAAGGCAGGACACGAGACATTCATCGCCAACAATCACAACAGACGTCCGTCTTCCTCTCGAAGATTCTTTGTCTTAAAATCAGGTTCAACAACAGCAGAACAGAGAATTAGGTCGAGAGCAAAACTAACATATTTAAAGGAAAACAAAAAGACCTGATATATATGTATATTTATACATATATTATTATATTAAGCACGCAAAACTCCTCAGATACACTCTCATCTTCAAAGATCACAAGTTTCTTAAGATTAACGTTATAATGTGTCACCGTTATGTCCTGCTGGAGCAGCTTCCTGCTCCCTGTTGGTTTAACTTTTTATGCTGTTAGAGGGTTACAGAGATGAGCCAAAGAAGGAACTGAGAGCATGGTACCAGAGATGAGGGGGAAACAAGAGGGGGGTGTTGGTGGAAGCTACAGTGCAACAATTCTTAATGTGCAGTCTGTGCGGGTCTGTCATCCACCTTCAAAATAAGAGCCGAACTGAGGTACTTTAACTAAGAGAGTCACATCAGGAGGTGACAAACATGCAGTTTGAACAGCTTGCAAAGAAAAGCACAGAGCAGCAAAAGCATCGATTGATTAGTTTTTGTTTATTTCAGTTGAATTTGTTCATGTGATCCAAGGTCGTTTAACATATTTAACCGAGAAACAACGACAGGGGGGTTCCCGCTAGAGTGCCCTTTCCCAGTAAAGACCCGGACAGGCTGCAGCTTGAGGGGGGTGGAAAAAGCAGCGAGGCCTACACCTGAGTCATAAAGCGGCTGCAGTCAGACTGGGCGGCTCCCAGAGAGCTGACAAACCCGCGGCTGGTTGCTGAATAAACTATCAAATGTCAGAACATTTGATCGTTTCTTCAGTGGGGTGAAACTTTGCTTTTCAGCTGCCGATTCGAGCAATAAGAGAAGATTTTAAAAACTGCTCCCACCCATCCCAAGTCGTCTTCTACACCAAACCTCTTTTCTCTTTTGATGTTTTTTTTAATGATTTTAGCTATTAAGTTTGGATTTTTATCTTAAAGTAATTCATCCGATTTCCAACTTTCTAATAGGCCTTTTTGAGATAGTTCTGTCTTCTTGCTACGTTCTAACTGGCAGCTGCAGGTGATCTTAGTCAGCACTACGAGGACCAGCTGGTTCTTGACAAAATTTTGGTGTACAAGAGGCTTTATGAGAACCCCAGCTTGCTCTAAATAACCGCATAAGGCGCTTGGAGCATTCGAGTAAGTGCAACACACAAATGGTAAAAACCCAGTGCTGCGGGTGTATCTGAGAGACATTTAAGTCAGTCAGAAGCTTGTGCACATTATCTTGGTGTTAGAGGTCAAAAGACAATGAAGTCTTTTAAAGCCAGGCTGATAAACCAGAGGCAGGAAGCGGACGCCGTTGGGAAGCCCGATGGGGTCTGACTGGCAGCAGTGGGTGAGGTCACCAGATGGCGACTCGTTGCTGGTTCAGCGACGGCAAAAGGGAAGCAAGGTAAAAGGACGCCAATTGAGGCAAAGCAGAAAAGCAAAACCTGAATGAAGGAGGTCAATAAAAAAAAGTGGGAATGTAATGTGTGAGTCAGCGTTTCTCCCTCATCGGGCTGAAACTGGTCAAATCGTTACTATCAAATGTGTAAAAGTGCGTATTCATGCACGTGTTTGTCGTGGAGCGGGGCCGGGGGGTCGTCATGGCTGTCTCCTGTGGGACAATGGCAGATCGGGGGCGGAGGTCAGTGTCTGGAGGCGGGGCCACTGAGGAGATGACGTGGGGTCAGATCCGGGGCAGATACTTCTCGATAAATTCCTTTACAGCTGCCATCTCCTGCAGGCAAGCAGAACAAGAAGGAACCGGTTGGTTTAGTTAATGATTCCTGATTTTTAGCCTGAAAATATTTTTTTCCATGTTTTTATGGACGTTCTATTTGAAATGACTAAAACACAACCACGGGTTATAACATTAAGCATTGATTTTTTTATTTGACACAATTTTCTGCCACGTATAAATTGGATCTGTTCAACAGTCAAGTTTGTGTCAGCAGCCAACAGCAGCTCACAGCCAACAGCTGCTAACAGCTAAAAGAAACTAACAACAGCTAACAGTTATAAGCAGCTAACAGCTAAGCTGCTGGCAACTAAAACCAACTCACGGCTGCTAACAGCCGACACTAGCTAGCAACAGCCAGCTGCAAGGCTGCTAACAGCGAAAAGGAACTAACAGCAGCCTACAGCCGACAGAAGCCAACAGACAAACTCCTAAAAGCTAACACCAAACTTTTGGTTTGACAGATCTAACGTGCTCTGACAAAATCTGCTTTTTTGATCCCAATTATATCCTGAAAATGAGCGCACATTCACATTTCCCTGGCTGACGTTGCTCTGATGATCAGAGGCACATGAAGCAGGATGTGACACACAACATAAACCGAAGTGTCTTTCTTCTGCTAGCATCCTCCTTCACTAAAAAGCTGAACTATTTCCTTTAAAATACTAAATCCAAACATTCCCTGCGTTTGATGGCTACTCTGCTCAGATGCTGTCTCTTCTTTCTTCGTGTGCAAGCTCTGTGTCAGTAATAACTGGGCGGATCATGTTTGTGTGAGTTAAAGAAGTAGAGATGGAGCCCCGCTTTCAAATGTCTGTGAGTCACTTAAAAAAAAGCGGCGGCTTGAGTGGAGACAGTTGTGGTAAAGCAGGAGTACCTGAGGACATGAGCTGTGAGAGAGCCCTGGGTAGGTTTTGAAGGTGACCATCTGAGGGTTGATTAGGGATTTGAGCTTCTCTGCCGTCATGGTGCCGAACAGCACGGGGATCATGGCGTCCATCTCACCGTGGCACTGCAGGATCGGGATGTTCTTGTGTCCGTTGAATGCCTGCGGGAACAACACAGCTCGTGTGGATCTGGGACGGCTTTCTGTGCGCAGCGCTGTCTAATCAGTCAGGTGGAGGTGCGGCGGTACCATGGGGAAGCTCTTGTAAAGTGGGAGCCAACAGCTGAGGGCCAGCACACCGGCCAGCTGGTGCTGGCAGGTCAGGGCGGTGTACAAAGACAGGGCGCCACCCTGTGGGGGGGGGGACAGGCAGCAGGTAAACGCACACACTTACAGCCTCATCTTAAAGCTGTGGCCGTAGCGCCCGTCTCACCTGAGAGAAGCCTCCGAGGATTATACGGTGTGGGGGGATCCCATTTTTGACCTCGTGTTCGATTATGGCCTTAACTGGAGAAAAAACAAGAAGAACGTTGAGACAGACAGCTGGAGGACTGCTGCCCTGAGTCTTTAAACCTTTGATCTATTGGGAGATTAGCAAAAGAAGACAACCAGATTTCATATCATTATTCAATGCTGTATTTACTTCCGATTATGAAGGTTTCACTTATCCAAACGATAGACATGAATATATAGACGTATATCAGCCTATTTAGGGGATTTAGTCTCACAGGTCAACAAAGTTCACATTGTTCATTCACAGCCCGAAAAAGGAAAAACACCAATAACTTTTCTGATTTTACTGCTTCTAGCTGTGATAAACGGTATAATTTTGGACATCTTTTTAAAGAGAATCTGCTTTTCTAACCCACTGAATAGTTTTAGAGTCATCTTACAGTTATGCCATAAAGCATGTTGATTAGACAGTTCGGACAGTTGAAATGTGAAACGTTTATTATCCTGGGAGCACGTTTGAAGAGGTAATACTCCCCCTTTTTTTTTTCATCCCCCTTTTCGTCCCGCTGTTTGAACAATTGGTCTGAAGAACCTGAAATTGATGGTTAAATTGAACCTGAAATTGATGGTTAAAAGATGGGTGTGAAAGGATTGAGCCTCATTTTAACCAAGACTTTTTTTGAAGTGTCAATAAGCGCCCCTTTAAGCTTCGTGAGACTTCATTATTGTTTTTTAAAGCCACAAATGTAGGATTTGATTAGGTTAATGTATCTTAAATATTCAAAAGCAGTAACTGACTGTGCTTTAGTGAGAGTTACATGTACATCTCAGGCTCGGTGCTTCAGCATGGTTTGCTACTCACTGACCTAAAAAGGTGAGTTTATTCCCTGAGTCTCCACCCTAAAACTGACAAGCTACTCTGAGCTACTGTGCTTAAACCAAACGCCTAAGCAGCACCTAAAAAACACGCGTCAAATAGTTAAAGAGGATCTAGAATGTCCTCTTTAAAGCTCTCTGACGAGTTTATGTGCGAGCTTTATTGCATTTGCTCTTTGTTCATGGTCTAAAGCTACAAACTCACTGCTTTCTGCTGCCTTCTTGATTCCAGATTCGTCCTCCGCAGCGTCGGGGCTGAGGCCCATGAGGTCAAACCTGCAGCAAGCAGCACAAACAACATCAGCGGAAACAACTGCGGCATTGTCAGCCGGCCGGCGTGGTTTCCAGGGAGACAATGGCGTCCAGTGTGTGGCTGGAAGGCAGCGTCTCTCTTCACAACAACTCACCAGGCGGGCATCGTCATGTTCATGTTGAGGGTGACCGGGATTTTAGGCCTGCAGAGGGAGAGCACAGACACCATAAAGCACAGGCCAGTGGCCGGCAGCGGCCGGCAGCTCGCCATCTTGCAGGCTCAGTTTTGTGTGAGTGACTTACGCGTGGGGGCAGATGAACTTGACGTGGGGCAGTTTGATTCCCGTCAGGGTGTCTGCCCACCCGTGCCTGGCAGAAAACAGAAAGCAGCTCTTTGTTTCTGACCCGCACACAAAACGGCTGAAACAGGGAGCGTCCCGGCCAAACTCAGGGCCGAGGATGCTCAGAGGCCAAACACACGCTTTGTTTCTGGTCCCTGCTGTTTTCAGCGGCCCCACCAGAACATGGGCAGGAAGGATTTCAATATTTAACATTATCAAGGAGCTTTGATTCACACTGAAATTCAAATAGTGTAATTTTTCTGTTTTTTTTGCATCAGATTATTATCATATTTCTGTTATTTTGTGTATATTTGTGGTGTTTTCGTCACAATTTGGCCTCCTGCTGGTTCAGGATGGCTTTGTGTCTTTTTGTAGATATATTTGATCCTGTTAATGTAATTTTTGGGTCAGTGTTTTACTTTTTTCAGTTAATCTGGATTTAAAACCCAGTTTTCCTATTTTATCTCCCCCAAAGTTCAGCCGACTTAGCTTTTTTGAGAAATCAGAAATGCATCAAGCAGAACATAAAAAACACTTAAAACTCTTTTCCTTTCCTGATGGAAAGAGTTGGAATCATAGCAGCTTAAAAAACTGAATTAATAGAATAAAACAGAAAAAACAAGCTCACCCTGTGTCTCCCAATCCATGAAGGAAGATCACCTGCAAACAGATGACAGCAGCACATTAGCAACTCTAAAATGGGGACATTGGTTTTTCCCTCTAAACGCCTGACTGATGGGGGGATGTGATCAACAGTGGTTGGTGCAGCATGTTCGGTTCCTCTAACTCTGCACAGATTACTTAAAATAGCGATTTCTGGCCTTCTACACGGCTGGTTGGTGCTAAGACCTGTTCCCAAACACAGAAAATCGGCCTTGGCTGCCAGTTTCCGTGCACTCCTCCGCAGAGAAGCCATGAAAGGCAGCTATGACGGCTGAGAAATCTGGCAAACGCTGCAGCTTTGACCCTGAGGCGCCGCAAATCCTGGTCCGGTTCCACGAGAAGCAGGTTTCACTTTTCAGCGAGAGTGAAATCTTTGCTTATTAAACCCATTTTATTAGTGTTTATCTCATGTGACTCCCTTTACATTTTAATTCTACATTTATTCCCTTTTTTGAAATAGCAAAACTCTTTTTTTTTTTTTACTATCAATTGCTATTTTTGTCTAAATACTTTAAAAAATGTATCGATATGCTTAAAATATAGACAGATTTATTGATAAGAGCCCAATAATGATAAGAGCTACAAAAATAAGTAGCAATTCATGGAGTCTGAAACACAGTTATAGGCCAAAAGTCCATAAACTTAATTTGATATAATGCATGAAAACTATTTAAAACATTTAAATGAGCCTTAGAATTATTCAAATTGGACAAATGATGGAGAAAATATCCTTTTCCTGTTCCTGAGAGAACGTGTTAGGGGTTAAATGGTTCTGGTTTTGGCTAAATAACTCTAGTTTGGGATAAATAACTGGTTTGGGCTAAATAACTCTGGTTTTGGCTTAATGCCTCTGATTTTGGCTAAATAACTCTGGCTTTGGCTGAGGGGAGTTCTGTGGAGCCACTTACCGCCGCAGTCTCCTTCTCGGCCCCGGACACCGTCACAGCATCGGCGAGCAGCGGCACAGACATGTTGTTGCCACACATACACTGTAAGAGGTGCTGGGCAAAAAACACAGAGACAGAGACAGCTTGAGTCGTTTCCAGTCTTCAGAGCATCACGTTTATCTGTAGAATCTCCACATGTGAGATAAGAACAGGAAATCTAAAAATCATGGTAGCAATTCAGACATGGAGCCACTTCCATAAATCGGATTATACTGCTTTTTAATCAGATTAAACTAGTTAAATACAGCATTTCTGTCCCCTAATAACCTGGTTCTGGTGCTCTAGAGCCTCAGAGCTGCACAGGGAAAGCTCCTGTAGCAGCTCCAGCTGCTAAATGAAACAGAACTGATTCCACTTTCTGTCTCTGAGTGAAGCAGATGGAGGTCAGCCTGATAAATAAGTCCTGAAACGAAAAAAACCCTCTGCTGCTTTAAAAAGTTTCTGTTCCACTAAATGACAGCAGATCTGTTAAAGTCTGGATGCTTTTAATGAAGCTCTGACCCTAAAATGGACACTTTGAGCTCCCAGACATCCAGATTTAACCCCTGTGATCTCTGAGGCTCCTCTCTGAGCCCAGATCCTTTTTCCTCTGCTCAGGTTAAGATGAACTTTCACAGAGCTCCTGTCATTTTCAGGAATTGTGTCCCTCTGCGTCCTTTATAGATCAGATTAATGTCAGCGTTCCTCATAGATTTATTGGTGTTTTATGGATATTTTGGTCTTCAGGACACAAATGGACCCTCATGGAGCTGAACGCTCACAGTTTGTCAGGGGATTAAGATATTTTAGGGGCTAATGACTCTGTGATTGGAGCAGGATAACCTTTTTCACTAATTGCACAAATATTAAGGAAAAGCCTTAAAAAAATCCAGTTTCACTCAGGTTTTTATTGAGGATTTATTCTTTTTCACACTCACTCAGTGATCGCTCTCATATCGTTTTCACTCCAAATGTGACAAACTAATTTTGCTCTTAGATAATTATTTTCAATACAAGTTTAAAGTAGTTTTTTCCATGTGGTTTACATGCTCTGAAAAAGGAATTCAGAACAGAGGAGCTAAAAGCTTCATCAGCATCAACGTCAGCTCAGGCATTCAGACCCAGAAAGGACCACCAGAGCTGGAGGGAGCTGGGCCCCAACACCACAGGCTTTGAAACCAGCTCCATCAGGAGACAGCTGAGTTCATTACCTAAATCACCCCCCCCCCTCCCGCAGCTGATAACGAGCAGGAGATCAGCCGGCTGTAAAAGCCCTCGCCCATCAACGACCTTCGGCTTTTCGGGCGCCGCCGGACGGGGAGGGGGGAATCGGACCCGGTTCCCGGGTTAATGTGTAAGCTGTCAGCAGGACTACAGTCCAGCCGAGTGAAAACGCCACGGCTGCTGTGACCGGGCCGCTTCACAGGTGACAGACTCTGATCAAAACATCCAGAAGTGGGCTGTAAGGGAGTCATCCGGGGTCTGAACCCCCCTGATAAATGAGTAATACACGACTGGACAAATACCAGAAAAAACTGCTGAAACGGGGTGAACTCAGTTTTCACTGCGAGTTCATTCTCAGATGTGAGATATTAAACACAGAAGTGTTCATCTGTGTGTTAACGCAGCAGTTTTCAGCCATTAATGCTCTCCAGGTTTTATCTGGACAGGTCAAAGGTCGCAGAGGCATCCACATCCTGAATGAAAACACCCCCCTCAGCCAAGGTCTCTTAAACACCTCATTTCTCCATAAATATTCACAGAAAACCAACAAAAGGGCGACTTGGTTTCCACTCATTAGGCATCAGAAAGAAAATGAATATCAAGCTCCTCCAAAAACCCCAAAGAACAGAAGAAAAATTCAAATAACTACAATTAGAGCGGAAAACTTCACACTATACTCCTTTTTTTCTTACAGAATTGAAACGTTTTCAGGAGCAATATTCAGTTTATTTGCTCCCGTCTGTAAACAGGCTGATTTTCATCTGGCCGGTCCTGCTTGTGTCGCACTGACTGGACTTTTGTTGGTTATTTGAGAAGCAAAGTCAGCGCTGCTTAGTGTTAACGGGTCTAATAAGGTTTTTTAACATTGTACGACAATCACATCCCACAGAACCAACTGTGGCCATGTTTTACACGAGTTTAAATCAAGAAAAGGTCAAAAAACAGAACAATTATTCATGAAAATTCCATTTACAAGTGCTCAAAGAGAAACCGACAACCTGAAAAACTGCTTTCTACTACTTTCTTTCTTTATTAGTATTTCTCTGGTGTGAAAAGGACAAACTGAAAGTCACCCACAGGGTGAATTGGGGGAAGTGGCTGAAAATCAGACAGAAGATGCCGGAGCTGCAGCCCAAACTGCTTCATTTAATTGGCTCTGAGGGAAATGAGTTGATGCTAATTATCTGAATTATCCCACCACAGAGGAGGGCTGCCATCTATCAACAGGACGTGTCAAACTGCTCTCAGAAACAGCCAATCACATGTCACAGTCACATGTCACAAACTCACTCGTTCACCTTCAATGGTTTTTACTTTCAGAGCAGCTATTTAACAAATCTGTAGGATTTCTGACTTTTTCCACTCAGAACTAAAGAGTCATTTTATTGAACTGACCTCTGCTTCTGGAAAAAAGGGGATTATATATCAGTAAATTGGTCATGTTGTAGGAAAAGGAGAAAAACAGAAATATTTAGTTGCTTTTTTCTCCTTAAATGTCCCAAAAACAGCTGAATCTGTGACTCTTTCTGAGCTGAGAGCAGAAATCGGCTGACGTTTTGATCCACAGACACCAACAGGATTAATGAGCAGACAGAGTCCCTCTAGAGACTGAATTCATGGAAATATAGATCATTTTAGGGGGCTGAAGCCTGCTTAAAAACAGGCCTAAAAATGCCCATGCTGCAAGCCGACAAGGCCCTAACTTATATCTCTGTCCTGAATCACAAAAACATGCACAAAAGCAACTTTACCACAAAAAAAATGCACAGGCTGCACTCCGGACCGGCTGAAACACAGGAAACACAAAGAGGAACAGGTGATAAAAAAAGACAGAAGGGAGGTTTGACGAGCTGTGAAGACACGGCAGCACATGAAAGCAGCCGGTTAATCTCCTTCATGCCTGTTTTTATGAGCCGCTATCGTTCAGAGGAGTCGGTGACCCACAGAGCCTGTTCTGGAGGATTTCACAGCACGCTGGAAGAAACAGCGGCTCTTTCAGGGCTTCTGGGGGAGGCAGGGAGTTAAAAATAGTGACACGCTAAATCATCTTCTGAAATATAGGTTGGCTCTCATTTTTATTAAGTACCTGCTGCATTTTGGGTTTGCCTAAACATTCAGTCAACTTCCTCTTTAAAGTGATACATAGAGTTCCAGTCTTTGTAGCTGAGCATTTTCAGAGGAATTCTCTGTTCAGCCTCTGAACTCTGAGTTATTCAGGCAGAAAAGAGGCCCCTAACTCAAGGGATGAGCCAGTATCGTTTCCAATCAGCAGAGCAGCCGTTTAGAGTGGACCTTTAGGCTCTTTGTCAGCAGCAGCCTGTCACAGAGACACTTCATTTTTTCCATTTCTGTAGCTGATGGACCAAAGAAAAGACAGTTCGACAGACAGGAAACAGGATTTCTGAGGATCCTCAAAGAGCCGCTGGCTGAAAACTGGGCAGGTCTGGGCACCTCCAGCTGATCATCTCCTGTTGGCCTCACCAGAAATGCTCTCCATGAAGGGGGGCTGTCAAGAAGCCGCTCTGAAGGAAGGAATCATGCAGGAAAGGACGAGCTCTGCCAGAGGAACCAGAAGTGGACTGAACACCAGGAGCTCTGATGGAGGGATGGATCCTCCCCAGAGGAGAAAGGAGCTCCTTTCCCAGGATTCAGAGAAAGTAGTGGTGGTCTATCTATATGGAACTACACACATCCTCAGTTTTCTGGTAAGATGTAGAAAAATAAGGGGTGTACATTTAGTTTCAACACAAAAAGGTTCTGCTCCAGGAATGACTTCTGGATTAACAGGCTATCGAATGTGTAGCCCGTTCATTTTCCGACAATCACTTAACGGATTAACCTGTAAATCTTTTCAGATGTTATTTATTCAGCCCTTTAAAAGTGGAAAACATCCAAAAATGTACTGGTCCTAATCTCCAAATCTTGACAAAGAGATGCGCTTTCCTGCTTTTGATTCCAGCAAACAAAAATTTAGCCGAAGTCTGCACTCACATCTTCTTTAAATCTAGTACATTTAAATGTTGGAGGTGAAATTAAGGTGACTTGAAAACGCTCTGAAAGTTTTTCGCCTTTTGATGTTTTTCTGAAGTCAAAAGCTGCCAGTAAGTCCCTTTTGTGGCAGATCAGCATGAAAGCACTCACAGAAACGTTTTCCATTGCCGTCAGATGACTGACTTAATGTTAAGTCAATAACACAGCTGGAAAATTGGGGACTAAAAATAAGCTAAAACACTGAAAATCCCGTCTGTTTAAGAGCACATCAGGAGTCTCCATCCTGCGTGACTTCAATTACGTTTAAGAGGGGCGCAAATCAGAGGAGTGCTGCAGTCAGTGTGGATGAAAGAGGTTAAAAAAAAACACCAGGCTGCCGCACTCAGATCGCTGCTCTGTGGCCATGGATGGCTGGCAAACAACAGATAATATGCGGCACTGAGTGACAGGCACCCCCCCCCCCCCTCCCGACAGTCCGGCTCCTGCGGCCCGAGGCGGGCGGCCGATGGGCATTACATCTCCACCTGACGACGCCCGCTCAAACGGGAAAACTCACGCCGTCAGTCTGATATAATTTTCTTTAAATAATCAAATCCGTCACAGGAGGCTGGTGGTGCGGATATCGAGTGAGAGGCAGACAATGAATGGTTGGAGCTTAACGACGCGCGGTGATGGTGGGGGGGATTCGGCGGTACAAAGCCTCTGCTGCCCCAAAAACACACTTTGCCCGACTCCTGACGCTCACATTCGCCTTTAATCCCGCTTTAGCTGCCCAACACACACATCTACACGGTAACTGGGGGCTGAAAGGGACGCTACTAGCTAACGTCGTAACTGTATTGTCCTCTGCCGGTGTCTCTCCGTCCACCTCAGGCGACCGTTACAATTCAAATTTCCCAGCTGAACAACGGCCGTTTTTTGGAAAACCCCTTTAACAATACGGTACCTCGATAACGTTTAGTTTGGGCCACAATAACAGGTTTAAAATTACATCCGCGGCCCGATTGCTAATACAAATTCATAGACTCACCGCTTGCTGTCCCAGTTCACGACGGGGCGGAACTTCCGGTACTAGCCGCACACAAGCAGGGGGCGGAGCCACAGCGGTGGGACGTCATCGCACAGCAACGCCCCGCCCCCTTTTAGGATTATGATATTTTTCATTGTTTTTGTTTTCATAGAGATCAAAAGGATCCATTAAATGATTAAAGGGGAAATTATTTTTTACATAATCAGTGCCGAAGACAAATGGAACTCTATGAGGAAAAATAACATTTAAACTAAATACAAATTATTAAATATTTTCTTATTTTCTTCTATATATTTGAATTTACATATACTATCATAGATTATTTATATTAACCAATTTTCCTTTGTAATTTTACCACTGATATGGACCCTCTTATATAATTTAATTCAGCAATAGAATAGCAATATCCAAAGGGGAAGTCATAGTACTCCCTTATGATTTATCAGAGAAGATACAATACATCATCTTAATATTTCTCCCCTTATTGTTGGTTTCTTAAGCTTCCGCTACATTAAAAGAATATCTGTTACAAATGCAGATGTCTGTTCAGATAAAAATACATTATTTTGTCCTTACATTTTTTTGCTCCTTGACTTCAAATCCAAGCTACAAGGAATCGTGGGAATTATCCTCAATGTGGTTTGGTCATGTTGGGCTCTAGAGATTACAATCATTATGATTTTGAGTTTAATTACTTAAATCATGTCGTGTTTGACACGCAAAGTCACTGTTAAATTGAAAAGGGGGGACTGTTTAATTTGACCTTTTTTCTTGATTTCTTGATTTTCTCCTACCAAAACCAGAAAAAAAAGAAGCTAAATCAGAGAAGAAGGAGCAAAAACACTTCAAAAGGAAGATGGTGTGTTTTGAGGCTGGTTGTTGTTTTGAACGTTTTTATTCATTAAAGCTTCAAAAACGGCTTCGGGTCAATTCACATTTCATATGTGGAAGCAAAACCATCGTCAGTTTTTCTTTGCTCGGCACCAGCAGGTCATTTCTTTGTATGATGCCTTTATTCAGCAGCAAGCTTCACGCCAGCGGCAAACGTTTGACGCCTTTATTGTTGAATGCTTCACCAGCATTAAGCCTTCACACTGCTCTGCAAGCCCTGGGCTCAGATTTCACGCCCGCTCCGGGTGGAGTTCGGCCGCGCCGCCTGCGAGCGGCGACGGTCGTCTTTGACATTCTGACAGCCGACAGACGCCACTGAAACCCCCCTCCTCCCCTCCGCCCCCCCAGGCCTTCAGGAGATGAAGTTGGTCTGTGGGATGATGCTCTCCACCCGGTGGTCAGCGGGGTTTGCGGCTGCCTCGTAGTTGCAGATGGTCACCTCGTGCCTGTGAGCCTGAGAACAACACTCGGCCAGATTCAGCTCAAACTGAAGGCAGGACAGAAGGAAACAGCTGGATCTGTGCAAACTCTGGGACAGATGTGGCTCAGACCTACCTCTGAATACTCCCCCCTGAGGCCGATGTAGTACACCCGGGTGCTCTCTGCTCCAAAGTTCTTGGAGATGTGGATGGAGAGGTGGTTGACGCTGGAGAAACGGGCCACCCTGCACACAACGACAGAGGAGGAGAGGCTCCAGCTTCATTAACGCCCGAATCAGAGGAACAGAGTCCAAACCAGACCCAGAGAGGCTGATGCGTGCAGCTTAAACTGCTGGAACAGCTGCTCACTGGGCTCTGATCCAGCTGTTATCCAGCTGCAGAGCATCCAGAAACAGCTGCTCTGGTCCAGTTCAGAACCAGGAAATCAATGATTGTTTTATTTTGTTATACCTATGTGTTATTCATTGTTGATTTGTAGTTTTTTTGCTTTTAAACTCTTTGTAAAGCACTTTGAATGGTCTTGAACACTAAATGTGCTGTCAAATAAACCTGCCTTAATGCACCCAGACCACATTCAGAGGGGGGCCTTTCATTTGGGCTCTTACTTTGTCGGGTACTCCAGCTCAGCCGTTGGGTCTTGGTTGAGCCTGAACGCCTGCTCGGGCTCCCTGCCGGTGTCGTCAAACGACATCCGAGGGATGTTCTTGTAGCTGAAACAGAAGTGGGAGGATCAATAGGTGTTTATGAGGCATAAGACAGAAGAAAGGCCCTGACGTTGAGGAAAAGACTGAAATGAGATGTTCAGATGAACGGATGCTCCAAAAAGCTGTTTCACATTTAACCTTCAGCTGGTTCAGATCATGTCTTTAAGCTGTGGAGTCCCCCAAGGCTCAGTTGTTTGGCCACTATGATTCAGCCTCCAGGGTAAAGTCGGTCCTCTTTGGGCTGCCGTCCTGCAGGTTTTAGAAGTTTCAGTGCTTCAACACACCTGATTTGCCATGTTTTAAGCTTGTGCAGAGCTTTTTTTAGCTGATACATTTGATAAGAACCTGGTGTTTTGAAGCAGGAAACCTCTAAAACCAGCATGACGGTGGCCCAAAAAAAATTGGAGCCGGACTCCCCTGATCTAGGTCAGATCTTATGCAACAGTAGTTTTTCCTTCTCCCTGAGTTTGAAGCTACCTTCACTTAAATCAGGATAAGACAGAAATTAATCCATCTGCTAACAAAACAGAATGAGTCTCCACCCAGCTCGAATCCAGAGGGCTCAATTTAAATCTCAAAGGAGCTTTAATGGACTGGGGGGACTCGTTTGCAGCTTTTTGGGGGCTGCTTTGCAGCTGTGAACCCGGCCGCCCGTGACCTTTTTACGAGGCACTCACAGTCGTATCTCGGCTGGATGCGAGTCGTCGTCCTCTCCAGAGATGATGATGCTTTTCAGCTTCACGCTGCCGGTGAAACTGAAAGAGATGTGACACACAGAGGAGGGTTGGTTTGCTCACAAAAGCCAAGCTGCAAAGTAAAACTGAAATAGGACGAGGAGCAGCCGAGTTTGGCTGACTGATGGCTTTCTGCACACACAGCAGAGCTGAGCTCACGTGAACCAGTGATCACAGCCCACTCTGGTGGATCCAAACCAGCCTCTGGACGGAGCTGAAAACTACAGCCAGGCCTCAAAGAGGTCGCAGCCCCTCAGGTCTGCCTGGACCGGTTTCTGCTCCGGGCTCCTTCATGCTCAGAGCAGGATATTTTGCTGCCGTCAGCCTCACTGATCTGTGGTTTTCCTCTGGCTGTCCAGTCCCAGTCCTCCAGTCCCTTCTCACTGTGTGTGGAAACGCTCTTTCTCTCACTATCAAACTGCTCTGCTGCTGTTCTACTGCCACCGATCATCATCCTTCAGGTTTTTTCCCCCTCGTTTCCACCTGGTAGCGAACGGATGCCCTCTTTCCATTTTTTAACATGAATTTGGCCAGTTTTTACCCAGTTTTAGTAGTTTCTGCCTCACCTCAAATGTTTTCTCTGTTTGATTTGACCTGGATTTGACAAAAACAGACTGAAAATTGCATTTAAACTCAAACAGGCTGAACGAAAGAGCCTTTAAAGACAATAATCTGTCCAAGACCTGAAGGTTTTCTGTCTGGACAGGAAACCAGATGAAGGGCTTTTCTGGGGTGACATGGGTCTTTAATCCCACCTGATATTTCCACAAACACACGTCAGACGACTCTTTAAGTTCTGTTTTGGGCTTCTTAAGGCTGTGATCTCACACTATCAACCCGTCCGAGTTAAATTCCACTCTATTATTTTCTCTCTCTCACTCCTGCATCCTCTCTTTCCTCTCTATTTTTTTGCCTGCAAACAATCTGTGGACTTGGTTTAATCAATGTTATTTGGCTCTTTAAAAAACACTCTCCACCTGACATCTTTTTACCAAATATAACTGAAGAAATATGGAAACGGTGCGTTCACTGTAGATCCGTATTTCTGATGATTTCAGTACTTACGGGATGTTGAACAGCAGCTCCTCATCTGCATCGCTCTCCACAAACTAAGAGAAGAAAAACAGGATTTCTCTGTGATTTGATGGGTTAAGAATCATCATACAGAAGATAAAAAGGCAATTTTCCACTTCCAGCCTTGCTGGGAACCACCTGGCGTCCCACCTGAGCTCCACAGGATCACATTTCTATCACCTAAAGCTGCTCAGGGTGGAGTTTTTAGGTGATCTCATTTTATGTCAAACTTTTTCTGTCCTTTGAGCCTGATTTTCATCTCCTTTGTGTCTGCTGCTTTTTGTACAGTCCGTTTAATCAGCAGAGGTGTCTTCATTGCCCATATAAACTGATCTATTTGTCCTATTTTCACCCATTTTCAATATCTTTCAAATCCCACCGATTGTTTTGCATTCATTTTTTAAGTTTTTCTGATATTTTCAATGAGGTCAGCTGATATTGTTTGGAAAATCGTGGTAACAACGGTACGTTTGGGGTCCTTTGGTGGTTTCTTTGTCGCAGTTGCTGCAGGGACCAGCCACCGTTTGGGCCCCGAGACAAAAGCACCTGCTCAGAATCAGTAACTGATCATGAATCAGCACATCTGAAGTGCAACAGGACCTGAGAGTTTGGCTCTGCACAGATTAAAGCTCAACTATGGTTTTGTCCGCATGTGTGAGGGGACCCACGGCGTGTCCGTTCAGCGGGACACAGCTGGAGGCACGCCCGGGGAGAGGCCCCCCACCCCGGGTACCTTGTCCCTCTCGTTCCGCCGGTCCCACGGTTTGAACACCAGCTTTCCGTCTCCCTCTCGGCTCTCGTTCAGACACTGCAGCTTCTCCAGGTCGATCCGCCGGTACAGCCCGTACTCCAGGCCCCGCTCCGCGGGCTCGTGCTCGCCTTCGCACCCGCAGCCGTGCCCGTGCCCGTGGCCGTGACCGTGACCCGACATCGTGGACGCAAACTGGGAGAAAGCAGCTCTGTCTGGACCGTTTAAAGAAGTTGGAGCTAATAGGCAAGTTTCGCTTCGAAGCGCGAGCTAGTTCCTGTCAAGTGACACAACGTCACTGACGTACTTCCGGTGACCTTTTTCACAAATAAAATCCGTTTTTGGCTTAAGAAAAATGACGCTGTTTTCTTTCTCTGCTCTAGTTCTCGTCAAATCTTTTTTTAAATTCCTCCTTTGTTAATTTTTCTTCTTTCTTCGTTACCTTGTCCTCCTTCCTCATATTTTTCATACTTTTTTGTTTTCATTTCTTGTTTCTGTCTTTAGTTTTATTTCATTCTTTATTTTTGTTCTGTCCTATCTTCTTACTACATTGTGCATTAATTGTTTTCATTGTCATTACTGCTTTTTTTTCTTTCAATCCTTAATCCTTGTTTCTTTAATTCTTGTATTTTTTCATCCCTTTCTTGCTTTTTATCTCTTTCATTCTGATAATAATAATAGTAATAATAATAATAATAATAATAATAATAATAATAATAATAATAATA